AAATAAAAAAATAAAATTTGAATGCCTATTTTATGACTATTGTTGTTGTTGTTATCCATTGTCATCATTGTTATCCATTGTTGTCATCACTCTTTGTTAGGAAGTCAGGTCTCTCTTTTAAATGAGTCCTTGAGGCTCAATGGGATTAACCTGTCTAAATAAAGGTTGAATGAAAAAATCTTCAGTAAACCACAACTTTTCATTTTCACTGTTTTCTGTTATGGTTTAGGGAAATTAATACATTGTTAAGTTCTGGACTCTAGAACATCTGCAGGCCCTTATGACCGTCCTCCTTATTTTGTAAGGCTAGACGTAAAAATCATAGCAGAACCGGTGTTGCACATCTTTAATCTGTCCATAAGCCAAAGCTCCATTCCAAACACTTGGAAAACAGCTTTTGTTCTACCTTTACTGAAGGGAGGAGACCCCACAATGAACAACTACCAGGCAATCTCTAAACTGTATTCTTGCTAAGGGTTTAGAAAAATTGATAAATACTGAAGTGACAAAGTATTTGGACTCCAACATTTTTCATTCAGGTCATCTGGACAGTTTCTTTTTTGATGAAATGTTTCATCTTCCATCCAGATGGCTTCATCAGTCAAGGAAACACACAACACAAAACTGATTCTTCCCCCAAACAGCTTACTCCAAAGTGGAACAAACCAGTAATGTTGGTGCTAAGATGGTGTCTTTGGATTGTATTGTTTTAACATTTTACCTCCCCGCCAATCTGGTTTCAGGAAACAACACAGCACAACGACGGGTTCAATGAAGGTTATTGAAGCTTTGGATGCTAAGGACTATTGTGCTACACTTTATTTAGACCTGTCTAAAGCTTTTGATACTGTAGAGTCAACCATGATATCTTATGCCATAAGCTCTCAGACATTGGTTTCTCAGACCATACTATCAGTTGGGTTTCTAATTATATCTCAGATCGAAGCCAATGTGTTCAACATAATGATACTTCTTTCAGCTATCTAAATGTTAACAATGGTGTACCACAAGGTTCAGTCTTAGTACCCACCCTCTTCACAATCTACATAAGCAATGTAAGTCAGATCATTCCTGATGTATCCTTACATTTCTATGCTGACGACACAGTTGTTTATTGTCGAGGTAAAACAGTTACCAAGGTTTTCCAGATTTTACAGTCTGCATTCTACATCATCCAGTCAGATTTGATCCATCTCAAACTGGTGCTAAATGCTGACAAAACCAAAGGGATGTTGTAATTCAAACAGGAAGTTGTTTTCAACAGTCCTTCCTTCTATCTTATCTACAAAATGGTGCTCGTATTGAGTTTGGCGATTCTTACGAATACTTAAGTATCTTGGTTGATTCGCATCTCTTTTAAGCCTCATGTTGAAAACTTGGTAAAGAAATTGAAAGTAAAACTGGGTTTCTTTTTTAGAAATAGATCCTCTCGAACTCTGAATGCTAGGAAACACCTTGTAACTGCTACTTTCCTTCCCTCCATTGACTATGGTAACATTATTTATGTAGTATGAACAGATGCTGAGATATATTCATACATTAAACGGGTTCTTCATTTTTCTGACTGTGTAACATGCGTGCATTGAATTTAACAGAAATGTAACGAGAGACGTTGTTTATCTTTGACCCATCAAAATTAATGTGGTCATTTATTTACTGAATCAAAGTTTAACATCAAACATTTACATTAATTTGGCAAAATATGAAAATAACAACAGCATAGTTTTACAGGAAGTGAGAACAATACGGCGATTGTTTTCACTTTTCAGCTAAAACGGCAGACATCAATTAATCAGTTTTACAACCAGGAAAACCATACGACCATGGTTTTCCGTTGCTTCACCACAGACATTAATGAAAACATCTGGATTAATTTTCTAGCAGAAAGGAGAGTTTGAAGATGGAAAATTGAGATTTATCTTACAGAGAGATGTGTGAGGGAATTTATCTGTTTTAACCAGAACAACACGCTCCATTGAAATCAGCTTGGCCAACGGTACGCTTGGTCGAAATAGAACTTTTACCTTGCAGACGATAGCTTCAGCGTCGGTGTAGAGCTCTCCTTTTGACTCTTTCAGCGTCTCCGTGAGGACAGCTAAAACCTTAGGAGTCGTGCGAGGTTATCCAAACAGAAGTTATAATTCCCAAAATCGTCTCTGGTTCAGCTCTGCATTCTGGATTCCAAGAACTCTGAACTCCTTCAGAACTCTGAACTCTGAAACTCTGTAACCCATCTCTTCTCAACTCTACTGTTGAACTCTGAAAACTCCTCCGTTGAACTGGGAAGTTGCCACATTTAAACGGCTATACTTCCGGTTCATTTGAGAGCTTTCTGATTCGTGGATGGACCAGAACAGAGGTGTGGTTTGTGATGTAAGGTGTTATGGAAAGTCAAGGATTGTTTAAAAACAGACAGAAAGATTGTTGGAGAAACCCAGTCTTAGTGGCGTCTCTACTCAGTATCTGCTGTGAAAGTTAAACATGACATTTCTTTTCAGTAAACTTTTTAGTTGACCGAACCTCGAACTTTAACACACTTACAAATTTGCTCATTGAAGACAGAAAAATCAAGAAATGCATATTACCCTGATTTCTTCTTTGAATGAGGAATAAAAATCATTACTACTGTTTAAGTAAATAAAAATGAGTAGTTCACTTCAACATGTAAACATTGTTTGAACTAACACAATTTGATTATCAAAACATTTGTAAAATAGTAATGATCATAGAGAATTGTCTTTTCCACTTGATTAATTCAAGAAAGAAAGTCTCAGGATGGGTCAAACTGTATTTCTGGATTCAAATCAATGAAATGACAGTTCCTGACCATATGATCCTAAGGTCATTGATTTGACATCAGGTCAAGTTCACTACATTTACATGAATGCTCTTGCAAGCACCTTGCAGATGTTGGATGTTGTCTGTCATGGTGCGCTAAGATTCATAACTGTAAATCTGTAAATAATTCCTCTCATTATTCATCCTGACCAAACTGGATTCATAAAAGGAAGACACTTGACCACAAACACACGCAGATTATATAATTTAATAGAGTATTCATATAGTAAAAATATTGAAACAGCTATTTTGTCTTTGGACGCAGAAAAAGCATTTGATAGGGTAAACTGGAAATTTTTATTTTCTACATTGAGTAAATTTGGTTTTGGGGACAATTTCATTAATTGGTTAAAAATATTATATAACTCACCAAGAGCATGTGTCAGGACAAATAATCAAATATCTTCAAGCTTCTGTTTACAGAGGGGGACCAGGCAGGGATGTCCACTTTCACCTGCACTATTTGCTATTTTTATTGAACCTTTAGCAGCAGCAATAAGACAAACTGCTGATATTAAAGGTATACTGTGTAGAAATATAGAACATAAAATTAGTCTTTATGCTGACGATGTTTTACTTTTTCTTCAGAACACAGAAAATTCAATATCTAATGTTATCGAATTAATAAACTCATTCTCAAAAGTTTCTGATTATTCTATAAATTGGTCAAAATCCACAGCTCTTCCAATAAATTGCGTGTTTAATACTTCTCTCAATGAACGACTACAATCAGGTAACATTACATACTTGGGCATTAATATTTCTCCTAGATTGGAAGACTTAATAAAATTGAATCATATCCCAATTTTAAAGAACATTGAAGATGATCTTACTAGATGGAAATCTCTGCCCAGATCACTTATGGGAAGAGTTGCCTCAGTAAAAATGATGGTCCTGCCGAGAATAAACTATTTATTCTCAATGATTCCAAATAAACCTTCAACTGAATGGTTTAAGTCACTGGACTCTTTGATATCTAAATTCCTTTGGAAAAACAAAACTCCACGTATTAGCTTAAAAGCATTACAGAAATCTAAAGATACCGGAGGGTTAGAACTTCCCAACTTCTATCACTACTATTTAGCCAATAGGTTACAATATATCTCAAAGTGGTTAAATCCAAATACATTAGATGAAACTTGGATAGACATAGAACAAACTTTATGCAATAATATTAAGATTTCAGATCTACCGTTTATTAGCACAAATATAAAAAGACATGTTTGCTTTAAAAGCATCAGTATTAGCTCTTCTCTGACAGCATGGTGGGAGTATTTGAAAATGACAAAATCTTCACTACTCCCCTGTAGACATACACCCATCTGGAACAATCCTGACATCCTACAAGAAAATAATATGTTAAATTTCCCAGGTTGGAGAGTCAAGGGAATTGAACGTCTGGAACACATATATGAAGGTGTAGACTTTATTCCATTTAATAATTTAATAATACAATTTGACATTGAAAATAAATACTTCTTAGAATATCAACAAATTAAGTCTATCATAAAAAAGAAATTTAAGCTTAATAAAACTTTGTTAGAAACACCA